CAAGGACTGGACCCCCAGAGGGGTCCGCCAGGGAGACTGCAACCGGCCGACTAAGCGGCGTGAGTGTGGTGCAGTCGCGAAAGAAGGAGTGGGAAGCACCTGAGTCAAGCGTGAAGGTGTACAAGGCCGCAGCAGGCGCAGAACTAGAGAGAGCAGACCCACCAGCACCTGGAGCAGGAGACGTACCGGCACCTAGAGCAGCAGCCTCACCAGCACCCAGAGGAGGAGACGCACGAGCACCTAGGGCAGCAGCCTCACCAGTACCGGGAGCAGCAGGTGCTATACCAGGGTCAGGCGGGACGCACAGGTAACAGGCACGGTCAACACTAGTAGGCAATGCATACATGGCAGTGAGAATAGCATCATAGTCAGGAGCAAAGATATCTACCCTCTGTCCAAGCAGCTCCAGCCAGTCGGGGAGCTCAGCCTCGTCGCCAAACACTGTACGCCAGTCGTCGCTCAGACGGGCGAAGCAGCGGGACTGTGTGTGACCAAGCGTCCCGCAAGGCTGACCAACCCGAGCACCTGTGCGAATGACGTACTGGCAGCGAACTGTACGCGTAGACCTGCTAAACTGAGCGTACCACTCGTGGAGCTCACGGGACATAAGTGTCTCGCGAGGACGCCGCTGCAGCTGCAGCTGGCCACTGCTAGAGGCCCCCAACTGACCAGCTCCAGGGCGACAGCTACGACGGCTACCGCGACAGCCCCAACTAGTATACCACTCACTAAGCTGCTGGGGCGTGAGAGACTCGCGTGAGCGTCGCTGGAGCTGCATCTGGTCCCTTGCTAATAGCTAGTAGCAGCAGCAGCTCGGGCAGGGCAGGCGCGGCAGGCCGGCAGACAGGCAGGCAGGCTGACAGGCAGGCAGGCAGGCAGGCAGGCCAGCAGGCAGGCAGGCAAGCCGACAGGCAGACAGGCCGGCAGGCAGGCAGGCAGGCTGGCAGGCAGGCAGGCAGGCCGACAGGCAGACAGGCCGGCAGGCAGGCAGGCAGGCAGGCAGGCTGGCAGGCAGGCAGGCAGGCAGGCAGGCCAGCAGGCAGGCAGGCAGACTAGCAGGCAGGCAGTCAGGCAGGCAAAAAGACAGGCAGGCAGGCCGAAAGGCAGGCAGGCAGGCAGGTGCTCACCAAAGGCTGGAAGGGCAGGTGCTCGCCGGGCGAGCAGGGCCGAGTAGGCGCACGACTGCAGCGACGATGGGGCCGGAACAGCGACAGTAGAGTAGGGCCGCAGCAACTGCAGGGTGGGGGGCCGCTTCAGCGGCAGTCGCAGAGTGGGGGCCGCATCAGCGGCAGGTCGGGGCCTCGGCAGCAGCAGCGAGGGGCCGCAGCAGCGGAAGGTCGGGGCCGATGCAGCTGCAGGCTATGCAGGGCAGCGCGCGGGGCTGCTGTGGGCCGAGCGCGGGCTGCGGGAGGCAGAAACAGGCCGCGCGCAGCAGCAGCTGGCCGCGCGCGGCTCGGCAGGGACTGCGCGCAGCAGCAGCAGGCCGCGCGCGGCTCGGCAGGGGCGGCGCGCGGCTCGGGGGGGTTCGCGCGCGGCAGCAGCGGGCTGCGCGCGGCTCGGCGGGGCCGCGCGCAGCAGAAAACGGGCTGCGCGCGGCTCGACGGGGCTGCGCGCAGCAGAAAACGGGCCGCGCGCGGCTCGACGGGGCTGCACGCGGTTCGACGGGGCTGCACGCGGCTCGCTGGGGGCTGTGCGCTGCGCTGACGGCGTGTGAGGGGCAGCAGAGCGGCGCGAGCAGCGAGGGCGACGCTTGAGGCAGCAGCGGGCAGCGTGCGTGACTTAGGTCTGCGCGGTAGCAGCAGCAGACAACACAGTAGGCAGCAGGCAGTAGGCTACAGGCAGACGGCGCGCGCAGCGCAGCACGTCACAGGCACAGGCACAGGCGTGGGGTAGCGGTAGGTGGGCCCGAAAAAAAAAACGGTCCTACGGACCTACTGCTCTGAAACCATGTTAGAATCTAGAGACAAGGATGATGCATTGATCAAGAGTTGGGTACATAAGCTAACCCTAACATTGGGTTGTACCCCATATGGGCTACCCCACTAGCAGCCTACACAAACACAATATGCATAGTTTGACAGTTTGTGAAAAGGTGGCTGTCCTGATGCGTACATGGTGCTTACAAGACACCGATGTAACATCTGTCATTGAATCATACAGTATCCAGGCCCGACTCCTCTCAACCTTCTCCAGACCTACCGTATCTTCCCTAGCCCGCTATCTTCCATCCCTGCCCTCGGAATATCACTTCCTCATTTCATGCGTAGCTAAGGTACTTCACATGATACATAGTTATAGTGCAAAATAGCTTTTACGGCAATGGCCCATCCGTCGTCCACAAGTTCTCTCCTTTTCCTCTCAATACTGGATGTGTAAATCCTCGATAAAATCTTATTACAAGAGGCAATGTCCGTATTGCATACACGACGACACGCAGAAAATGCAACTACGCACGTTACACAACACACGCAATCTGCTCAAAGAGATCGGGTACCGGTAGCAAGAATTGCTTCTTGCACCCTCTTGTGTCAATTGCGCATCGCCAGCTTTGTGCAAGTACATATGGTAGGTACCGTAACTAACACCACTAGTTCATGCTCCTTTGTAGTTGGTCACCTTTGTCACTCCAAAATAAATTCGGCATTAAACAAATGGAAACTACTCTTGTATTACTGTACGCAGAAACGAGGCCTGCCTTGATGGGTTCCCATCATGCAACATAATTCGACAATTTCGAAGGCGACGCGAAGTAGCATCTGCATGGCCCATGCATAGGTAATAACGCGGACAGAACTGCCTCCTTTGATAGAAAGCATTATCCGTTAGGACGCGTCAACTCCTGCTAAAATCGGCAATCGATCGAACACCGCACTAAAATCCCGCAGTTTCCACAAACTCTTCCAACCCCGTACAATTTCGATTCTGCGCATGATCGATCGCCTAATTTTGCCGGAGTTGTCGCATCCTTATAGTTGTATAGAGGCGATCTGTTGCCGTGTGGATGGATCAAAGCGAGGCGCTTGCGGTCTAACAGGACATACCACCTCTCTCTCTCTTGGAGTGGCTCTAGATGTGGTCTGCGTATTATAGTCGGCGTTTATCTTCACCAGTTTGTTAATTCCATTTTTCTTTCTACCAGGCAATCACGCTTGGCCGACTTCACTATCACCGTGGTAACTCTATGCTCCTCGTGCCAATTCGCGACTATGAAAGCCTCGCGGGATATATCGTCTCCCGAGGATGATCCGCACGAATTCCGGCTGCTTTCTCTCCCCGACGAGCTCCTATCCCAAATTCTCACTCGTCTGGATCGCACGCACGATCGCTGCAGCGTCGCTCTCTCCTGCTCCCGCCTCCGCCGCCTCTCCCGCCGCACGCCCCACTCGCTCCACCTTAAGTTTGTCTCACCCTCTCAGAATCCCAACAGAAACGGGTGGTCCAATAATCTGGAAAATTTCTCGAGGGTATTTACCCATATTCGTGAGCTGACAGTGGAGGTTCGTTCGAATCCGGCGGGAACGGAGCTGCTGGCAGGAGTTGGCGCGGCGTGCCCGAAACTGGAGCGGTTGAGTGTGGTGGGGATATGCGCGAGTTATTTTCTGAACGATGCTGCCTTGGTGAAGCTCGCCAATAATCTGCTCTTCCCTCTCTTTCCCTCCTCCTCCTTCCCCCGAGCTCTCTCGCCTCTCCCCCCCGTCTCTCTCTCCCATTCCCGCCTGATCTTTTCCCCTCTCCCGTCCCCCCTCTGGAGCAGCGCAATCCCTCTCACTCCAACCCCGATTAACCCAAGGTTTTATTGCACCCTTTCTGGTCCGTCTGGTTTTGAGGCGCCTCAATAAACGACTCTCTCACCCCGAACCCGGTTGACCCAGGCGCTTATTTTCTCCTTTCCGGTTCGTCTCCCGTTCCCCTGTTCCGCATCCCCCACTCCCATCCCCCCCGTCTCTTCCCCCCTTTCCCCCCATCAGCCTCTTGACGTCTCTCACTTTCGACTCCCCATGGGATCTTGACAGCCACACCTCCGTCCCTCCGTTCGATGCCTTCCCCGCTCTCCACTCCCTCTCCCTCCGCCTCCCTGTCCCTCCTCTCGACGCCCTTCCCCGCTGCTCCTCCCTCACCTCCCTCACTCTCTGGAAACCCCACCCCTCCACCCTCTCCTCCCTCGCCTCCTCTTCTTCCGCTGTCCGCACATCCCTCAAAACCCTCAATCTCGAATTCGCCCAACTAACAGCCTGCCTCGCACCTCTCGCCAATTTCCTTTCCCTCTCCTCCCTCAATCTACGCTTCTGCACCATCGATCCCTGTGAGCTCCACGCGCTCTCTCGCTCCCTCCACGCACTCACCCATCTGGCCATAATCGACTGCCCCTTGGTCTCCAGTCACTCCCTCGCCGCCCTTGCTCAAGCCAACCCAGCTCTCTCCTCCCTCTCCCTCCGCTCCACCACATACCACCTCTTCAGCGCACAAGGCCTCTGGTCTCTGTTTCACGCCCCTCCTCCGCACCTGCACACGCTCTCGCTCTCCGGGCTGCCCTCCTTCCGCCCTGCCATGCTTGCTCGCTGCAGCGAATTGCAGTCTTTGATGCTCACTGGTAGGCGGGATGCGGAGGCGCCGGCTGTGATTCAGCAGGTGGCTCTTGAGAGCCTTGTGAGTATGCTGCTGGTGGTGGTGCGGAGGGGAGGAGGAGAGGGGGGAGTGGGAGTGGATCGTAAAGAGGAGGGTGGAAAGGGTGAGGAGGAGAGCGAGGTGGAGGAAAGGGAAGCAGTGGAGGAAGGCAAGAGAGAGAGGGATGTAGAAGCCATGAATTTAACTGCTGCAGCCGCGTCAGCAGGAGAGGGAACAGAGAGAGTAGCAGCTACAGCAGCAGCAGTAGCACCAACAATTGTCGACTCAAGGAACGAAGGGAGGAGGGATGTGAGTATGAGTATGTGGACTTTCGAACATCAGCAGCAGCGGCGCAGGAAAACCTGACAGCGGCACGCGATTGCGTGTTAAAGCTGATGAGAGAGGCCAACGAGGTGATTAGAAGCGCGCTCATCAGCGCCAGTTCAGCCCAGGATGCACGGGCCGAGAGCTCCCTGAGCGAGATCGAATCAGCAAGCGCCAGCAGTAGGACCGCTATCGCCTTGTGCCGGTCGCTGCGTGTGGCGGATTCGGAACAAGCTGCAGCGGCAGCGAGGGAGAAGGCGATGATTGAGGCGCTTTCCGCTGCCAACGCTGCAGGCGTGTTTGTGAAGAGGGGTGGTCGGGAAGGAGTGGGCGGTGGAGGAGCGACGCTGGTTGAAGAGGTGGACAGGATACTGCTTGAAGAGGTCGACAGTGTACTGCTTGACAACGCCGCGGCTGTGAATGGGAGGGATGGTGATGGTGATGGTGATGGTGATGGTGGTGGTGATGGTGATGGTGAGAGGGAAGGGGCTGTTGCTGTGGGGAACACGAATCCCCGTTCCCAGGCACTAGGTGTGATGCGGTCGTTAATGCTGCAAATGGCTAATGAGAGGATTGCCACGTTTGAGATCTTCGCACGCATGTGCCCGGGCTTTGCTCATGCTGTTGGGCGTCCCGCAACAGCAGCAGCAGCGCGTGGCGATGTTGCTGCTGCTGCTGCTGGTGGGGCTGCTGCTCATGCTGCTGCTTCTGATGCTGGGGATCCTGCTGCTGGTTCAGATACGGCTGCTGGTGCCGCTGCTGCTAGTGCTGGGTCTCCTGTTGTTGCTGGCGCCTCTTCCATTGCTGCTGCTGCTGTAGTTGCTGCGAGCGCTGCTGCTTCGGTAGGAGGTGGTTACCCTGGTGCTACATGTGCGACAGCAGCTGGTGGGACAGCGGTCTTAGGTGATGCAGCAGCAGGAGTGGGGCAAGCGGAAGGAGGAGTTGCTGGAGCATCACAGCAAGGGACAGGGGTGCAAGGAGAGATAACGCATGAAGATGCATCGCACGAGAAAGAAGCAGTTACAAGCCTCGAAAGCATGAGCAGTAGCAGCAAGCCAAAGGCCGGCCAAAATTCATTCAGCGGAATTACAGACACGTCCTGTAACACGGATACGACACAAAGAGGCGTTTATGGAATCCGTGTGGATGTGATCTGCCCTCCCCTCACTGCCTTGGGTCTCCAGAGTTTCCACTTTACATCCACTCCCGAGCCTACCTGGCTGTCTCAGCACCTCCCCTCTACATCGCCTCCCTTGTGCCTCACCTCCCCCAGTCCATCCTCCTCCTCATCTTGTTCCTCTTCATATTCCCTCCCAAGCACAAGTGCCCAGACCCAGTCCTATGAGTCTCTCTCACTTGCAGCTGCGTGCAGAAGGCTGAAGGAACTCTCGCTGCTGTCTTGCTCCGGATTGGGGGAGGAGCAGCTGCTGCTGCTGCTCCGAGCCTGTCCTGTTCTGGAATCACTAGTGGTGGAAAACAACGATTGCTTCTCAGACCGGGTGGTTGCACAAAGCAGGCTGGGGGGTCTCACGCGGTTGAGCATGGTTGGATGCGGTGCCATCACCGCAGCCGCCATCGAGATGTTGCTAGGAAGCTTCCCGAGCTTGCGGCATTTGAATGTGGAGGCAAGCAAGGTTGACGCAAGGGATCGAAGCGAGTTGCTCCGTGCGGGAGTGATTCTCGAAAAAGGCAGCGTGTGATGGAGTAACCAACGTGCCATATGGACTGCATCGCCGCGTCTATCTGAGCGAGGAGTTGAACGGGATTGCACGGGATCACATGGAGCCAGTCCCCTGCCCCATAGCCAGAGAGAGATGACATGTGCCTCAAAAGTCGCTTCGTGTGGGAGTGCTTCTTCGTGTGGTAGAGTATTATCGGAGTTTACAGGCTGTGCATGGCGGGGTTGGGATACTTGAGTAACATTTGGGTTCTCGAAACACTCTTCGTTCGTGCGGAATGATTTTCAGGGGAAGCAGTGTACATATTGGGGGGATTTTTTTGCCAATCAAACCATGCATGGGGTTTTTACCGTATCAGAATCTGAGAAGTTCTCTGGTAATCCCCAGGGGGACTTGCATTACAACCCTTGTAGAGACTTTCAGATTGATAGGCAGGTGTGGGAAAAGAAAAGGGCGGTTAAAAGTGCTGCATTGCAATGCCCGCCTTGCGAGAATCATAAACCTGAAGCATTTGTGGAATTTTCCACTGCGGCGCTACTTAGAACGTGTTACTGCGGCCTCGTATCAGGCAACCTTCTATCAGATTCGCGTCGAACCGCACTAAAACGCATCCAACCACAGTCGAACATACTGAAACGTATTCCACCGCGCAAAGTTGATACGAGGTGTTTCTGATACGGGGTGTAGGAACACGCTCTTAAGGCGTTGTTACGAATCAGGCACATGAGCCTTGGCGAAGGCCAGTCAGCAGGTCGAGATAGCCTTGTGAATCCGGAGAAATCATACTGATGGAATGGGGAGAGGCAACACAACGCAAAGGGGGGGGGGGGGGGAGGGAGGTTCGTGTTGTTATTCTCGAATCACGAGGAGTAGTAAAGCACCCCATGCAGCATCTCCAAGCAGGCAAGCACGGCACGACACTTCACTCACCCGTGTCTTATAAGGAAGTCGATAATAACGAGGTTGCAGTTCGCCTTGTACTCCTTAGTGTTGGCCACGATATTAGCCACAGCTTGAATTGGCAGCAGGGAAAACTCTGCTACCTCCCCATCTGTTGGTGGGGAAGTTTTGAGAAGAAAAGTTAGTGGGAGAATGAGAATCAGAGCAGCAGTGGGAGACATTGCAGGGCAGCAGATTTTAAAGCTTTCAGCAAAAATGTTGAATTCAAGAGAATATAAGCTGCAATGAAAAACCTGTATGTCGTTCAGTAGCAAAGTTTATATTGTGTTTGGAGTCGGCTCAAAACACATGGGGAAGAGGTGCTCGGGACTGACAAACACGGGGATGGCTTTAAAGGCGCCTGAAATGTCTAGAAAGGGCGATTGGGGGTGAACAAACACCTGTGTTTCTGGGGGTGAACAAACACCTGTGTTTCTGGGGGTGAACTCGGGTGGAAGCAGGAGGTCGTAGCAGAAGAGCACATCCCTCTTGAGTGTGTTGGCTGCTGTCGCTGTCTCATAGCTCACCACTCCCACTGGCACTGCCCTTCATTCAACTCCATTCCACCCCATTCCATTGCATTGCATTCCGGTCCATTCCATTCCATGTCATTCCATTAAATTCAAATCCATTGCATTCCGGTCCATTCCATTCCATTAAATTCAATTCCATTACATGTCATTCCATTCCATTGCACTCCAATCCATTTCCATTCATTCCATCGCATGTCACAAGATACGAGGCGAGTAGATTAGGCGTGCCTGCAACCGCACAAAGAAACCAGGAAAGTGCATGATGCGCTGCCATTTAAAAGAGGGAGAAATGAATGGCGCAAGCACAACAAGAAGCAGCGCAGGAAGCACCTAGCTCGCACCAGGTGACCAGGGCAGTTGTGTGGTTTCAGGGTCAAAATCCCCTTCTACGGCACAGCCCGTGTTGGCTCTCTAAGCCAAGCTGCCTCAAGCTCAGCCTTTTGTCTCGCATATGTTAGCACTTGTCACATCCCCATAATTTCTGCCCTCTTTCCGGGATCAACGCACTGGCGCTCACCTCTCTGCCAAGTGCCTTGGGATGTCCGCCTCTTCTCCACATTCCTTAATCATGTTGTCCCGGCAGCTGATGCCGTGCGGCTGGGTGGTGGGCAGTGGAAGGAAGATAGGAGAATGAGAGTTGGATTAAAGCCCATGACTGATTCAAAGCCTTAGCCTAACACGTTTCTAAGAAATGTTAACTTCAAGCTAACCCATGAATAAATCCTAGCACAGTTACTAGGCTTCCTTGTCTACCCCTATATCATGACCTATTCGGAAGAAAAGCTACTTGGGAAAAACTTACACCCTTTGGCTACACTTGATTTCTATGTATTAAGAAAGTAGTTTGGACCATGCTTGCTCAGAGTCCTTTCTGGCAGCCCATCCATCAATCCACCTCGTCTCCTCCCTTGATTTCAAACTCACCTGCCCGCCAGCCACGAGATGGTCTAGTTGGTTGGGGAACGTGGGCTTTAAGGGGGACCGCCGTGCCACCCACAGGTGCAGAGAAGAAGTGGAGGAGGAAGAGGAGGAGGAAGGAGGGGAGGAGGGCACGTGTGTGTAGCCGTTCATGTGCACGCCATAGGCCTTGGTGCCAAAGAGAGGCGCTGCTGCCCGCTCGATGAGGAAGGCTGGTGGCGCATGGAAGGAGGCACCCACTGGGTACAGCTGGAAAGGGGGTGGGGGAAAGTGGGGTAGATGGGGGAAAGGGGTAGGGAAGATGGGGGGAAGATGGCGGGAAGATGAGGGGAAGATGGGAGGGGAAGATGGGGGGTAGGATTGCTGCTCGCTTGATGAGGAACGCTGGTGGCGCATGGAAGGAGGCACCCACGGGGTACAGCTGAATGGGGGGCTAGGGTTGGGAAGGGGGGATCGATGGGGGGGAGATGTAGGGAAGATGGAGGGTAGGACTGCTGCTGCTCGCTCGACCCCGTCACCGCACTCCACCGCTCTCCACTCACCTCATTGCGCCAGCCAGTCACCACGCCTTGCTCTCTCAGCCGCTGCAGCACCCCTGCCACCCCTCTGTGCGCTCAGCAGCTCCTGCTGCCTCCCCCAACCGCACTCCACCACTCTCCATTCACCGCACTCCACCGCTCTCCACTCACCTCATTGCGCCAGCCAGTCACCACGCCTTGCTCTCTCAGCCGCTGCAGCACCCCTGCCACCCCTCTGTGCGCTCAGCAGCTCCTGCTGCCTCCTCCAACCGCACTCCACCACTCTCCGCACTCCACCGCTCTCCACTCACCTCATTGCGCCAGCCAGTCACCACGCCTTGCTCTCGCAGCTGCTGTAGCACCTCTCCCACCGCCTCTGTGCGCTCAGCAGCACCCGCTGCCTCCAGCCTGCCTGAAAACGACAGCACCCGCCCAGCAGCAGCACCGCTGGTGCCACTGCTGCCGCTACTGGCAGTACTGTCGGAGGTGGTGGTGGTGGTGGTGGTGCTGCTGCTGAGTGCGTGGTGGTGCATGGTAAAGACGTCTCCAAAGGGCTCCAAGTGCTGCCAGAAGCTGCAATGGACGAATGGAAGGCGCATGAGGGCAGGACGTGGGTGGGAGGGAGGACAGCGATAAGGAGACAGCGGCAATGAGGAAAAGACGTGGGGGACAAGTGCTGTTGGGTGCGACGTGGTGCAGCGCAACGCAAAGACGCCTTCCAATGGCTCCCAGTGCCGCCAGAACCTGCAGTGCATGAACGACAAGGGCAGCGCGTGGGTGGTGCTGCTGCCTGGTGCTGCCTGGTGCTGCCTGGTGCTGCCTGGTTCTGCCTGGTTCTACAGGGCAAAGACGTCTTCGCACAACTCCTAGTGCTGCCAGAAGCTGCAATGGACGAACGACAGGGAGGAGGGCAGCACGTGGGTTAGTGTTTTCACCGGTGGTGCGGCTGCTGCCTCTGCCACTACTGCCGGTACTCAGATGGTGGAGCTGCTTCTTGGTGCGTGGCGGTGCTGCCGATACAAATATGTCTCCAAACGTATCCAGGGGTTGCCAGAAGCTTCCTGGATGAATGATGCAGAAGGGCAGGGAATGAATGCGCTTATTGGTTTTGTTAATCAGCATTCTTCATAACATACAAAGAGCTTTCAATGCATGAGGGGAAGGACGACAAGGGAAGGGCGTGAGTGGGAGGACAGTGATACAGAGCCGAGGCAGCTATCACCTACGTTACGTTTCGAGACGTCTCAAAACTTCCCTTTTATCACGTAGCCAGCTATCACCTACGTTATTGAGAAAGCGATGCAGTTTTCATGGTCTCTGTACTTACTTGTGGTGAATGTACCCCACAACCTCCCCATTACACGATCGTCTGGTCCCACGGGTCCTCACTCATGGGGAAGAGCAGCAACGTGGAGTTTGATCTAGTAGTAAAAGGAACTCATCGGAAACTCCTTTGAGATGTAGGATCAAAGCCTTTAAAATCGTCCACACTATACTTTAGTCTAAGCTAAAAAAAAGGCTTCCAAGGGAACTCTTCTTTGATTCGGCCTATCAGCAAGATTTCCCGATCAGACCTTCATCAGTGCCCAAATCGTATGAATGTACTCACCTGTGGTGAATGTACCCCACAACCTCCCCGTTCACAACAAAGGGAATGAACTCTGACCGGCGCTCCTGAGACGAATGAGACACGTGTGCGTGGGGAGAGCATAGGGGAGGGGGGGAAGGTGAGAAGCAGGGAAGGTTTGGGGGCTGAGACGAGGGTGTGATTGGTTCGCAGATGGGCCTGGCGAGTGTTTGTGGAGGTGGTGGAAGAGAAGTGCATGCAAGCGACTCAGGGACATGCTTTGAAATGTCCATAATAACCCCATACACCCAACCCACTCCATCCCCCCTTCCCTTCCCCCTTCTCTCCTCCCCCCACTTCCCCCTCCCCCCATCCGCCCACCACCCACCAGCCCCGCGTTGCACTCGCGGACTCGCGCCATGTATCCCGACAGGTCTCCCGGCAGCTGCGCGGAAACTTGCGCCAGGTTCAGCGGCAAGGCGGGGGCGGAAACGCAAGCGGCAGCCGATCCCCGCCTGATCGATCTTTCCGCAGCTGCGGATGGAGGAGATCGCGCGGAATCGCGGTACGCGGGGGAAACGGGGGAGACGAGGGAAACGCGCGGAATGCGGGAAGCGCCGGAAGCTGTCGCGGAGAAGTGGGGAACGCGGGGAATGCGGGACGCGGGGAAAATGGTTCTCCTCGCAGGGATTTGCGCGGGAAAGGCGCCGTGCAGAGGGTGAGTGGCGGAAAGGGAGCGGGTAGCCAGCGCGCGGGGGTTGGTAAGCGGAAGCGACGATTGCGCCGCTGAAGGCGATTTCAAACACGCGGGGATCGCGCGGGAGCGCAGAGGACAGCGTAGCGCCGCCATTGTGTGGCGGAAAGTGCTGTGGAGGCTGGTGTTGATGTTGGTGGGATGCGGCGAGATGGCGACACGACGTTACCAGGGGAGAGTTTTTCGCTGCTTTCTGACATATCCGATGAGCATATCCTGCGATTCGTTACAACAGTTATAGTCGGATGTGAAACACAATGGTTGTTATGAGTTGTAAGAATGAAGAGTGCGCAGAATGCAATATCGCGGAAGTGATTACAACAACCGATCAAACAACGAGGCCTAGGCACAATATAGCAATGCTAGCTAGGCCGAGGTCGCGGAGTCGCGCGAAGGTTGGGTGCAGGTTTGGGGTTGGAAAACCCGAAGGCGACGCGGTTGACGTTCGGAAGGCGAGGTCGTCGGACCGAGCCTGAATTCCGAAAGTTGGAATTGTACGCGCAAGAGCTGCCTCAGTAAGGAATTAGCAAAATTCCTTACACTACCCCCCCCCTTAAGAAAGGTGGTCAATATCAGGCACGCGTCGGCGGGAGAGATAATCCCGAAGGACCGAGTGCCCTTGGAGTGAGTCACCAGGGACCCACGTGTCATCTTCACTTGTGCGATCCACCCAGTGTAGCAGAAAGTCGACGTGGCGTCCAGCGGGGGTCGCATGAATGCGATGATTCAAGATCTTCCAAGGTTGAAGTGTCGGATCTGCCACAGGTCGGACACTTGGCGCCAGGTTGGGTCGAGCGACGTCGGACGGCTGCGGAGCCACGTAATGGCGAAGGAGACTGACGTGGAAAGCGCCGTGGATCTTCCAGTCGTCCGGTAGAAGAAGTTTCGCCGTGACCGGTGTTAGCATCCGAATGATGTGGAAAGGTCCCACGTAGCGGGGTCGCAATTTTGCGGGCTGGGGCAGTTTGAGGTTCTTCGTGTCCAGAAGGACCATCTGCCCGTCACGGAAGGGTAAATTCCGTCGATGTCGGTCAGCGTAGCGGCTGGCGGCCGTGTTAGCCTTCCGTATAAATTCCGCTGCTTTGTCGCGTGCCGCTTGAAGTTCCGAGACGAACTGCTGCGACCGTGGTACCGGGTTTTCAGGAGTCGTTGACGAGGGTACCACCGGATCTATCCCGTAATTGAGGTAGAACGCCGTACTGTGCCCACGTCTCCTGCCAGAACTTCGACGTGAATTTCGGGTCGCGGTCGCTGATGATCGCCGATGGTAATCCGTGCAGTCGCACGACGGTCGAGATGAAGAGCTTCGGCTGTGATCGTCGTGCGGCATGGTGCGAAATGTGCCATTTTCGTTAAGCGATCGATGACTACGAGTACGGAGTCGTTGCCACTTGCGCCAACTGGCAGCCCCGTGACGAAATCCATCGTCACCTGTTGCCACGGTCGTTCGGGTGGCTCGAGGGGCTGCAGCAATCCAGCTGGGCGTTGGCGTGATGATTTCATTGCTTGGCAGGTCGGGCAGGCGGACACGTAGCGCTGCACGTCCGACGCCACGTCGGGCCAGAAATAATTCCGCTGCAGCAGCTTCAACGTTTTGTCGATGCCGAAATGCCCGGAGAGGTTGGAGTCGTGGACTTCCTGCGTCAGCAATTCTCTGAGGGGTCGGTAGGAATGTACCCAAACGCGGCTGGTACCGGCTTTTAGGTAGTAGTTCCCATGCGCTGTGGTGACCCGTTGGTGTAGGTTTGTCCTGAAGAACCTGTCGGTCCTATAGCCATGCTTGAATAACCCGTACTGCCAATAAAGGGTTAGAATGGGCGATTAGGTTGCTGCGGTTTGCATGGATGGGCGGGTCAGGGCGTCGGCGATGTTGTTGGCGCCCTTCTTGTAGGTGATGGTGTAGGTGAAGTTGGACTCTAGGTAATCGAGCCACCGATTCTGTCGCGGGTTGAGCTGTGGTTGGCTGCGCATGTACTGTAATGACTTGTGGTCGGTTTGGACTGTGACGTCGGCTCCCGTGAGATAACAGCGCCAGGTACGAAACGCATGCACGATGGCGAGCATTTCTTTGTCGTGTACAGGGTAGTTGCGCTCGGGCGGCTGCATTTTCCGTGACTCGTACGCGATGGGTTGCAGCCCGTTGCCGAAGTCCTGTAGTAGCACAGCGCCGACGGCGAAATCGCTGGCGTCCGTCACAACCGGCTTCGAACGGTCGAGATGGATCTGCCAGGCGAAGTACCTGGGGTGAACTCAAAATTATCTTCAGCTCGTCGAAGGCCAGCTGCTCTCTCTCCCCCCACAAAAACTGCACGCCCTTATGGAGAAGGTCGGTTAATGGTCTAGTCACCCCCGCCATATTCGCTACAAAACGGCGGACGTAGTTGACGAAACCGAGGAAACTCTGCAGCTCCGTGATGTTCGTGGGCGGCTTCCACTCCGAAATCGCTTTTATTTTACGAGGGTCAATTTTAATGCCTTCCCCTGAAACCACGTGCCCCAGGAACTCCAGCTCCGGCTGTAAGAACTCACACTTAGAGCCCTTAGTAATCAGTCGGTTCTGCTGCAAGCGCCGGAACACCTCGTCTAAGTCCTGTAAATGCTGCTCCCGAGTCTTGCTGTACACCAGGATGTCGTCCAGGTAAACTATCACCTTCTTGTCCAACATGTCCCGAAACACCCCATTCATGGTGAGCTGGAAGGTCGAGGGTGCGTTCGTCAGTCCGAACGGCATCACTGTATATTCGTAACTGCCGTAGCGGGTGCGAAACGCAGTCTTCGGGCAGTCGTCGGCGAACACGCGAATCTGATGGTAGCCACCTCGCAAATCGATTTTCGAGAAGAAGCGAGCCCCGCGAAGCTGATCCAGCAGGTCGTCCGCTCGCGGAATCGGGTAACGCGACCTGATAGTGATCCGATTCAGCGCTCGATAGTCGATACACATGCGCAGGCCTTCGTCTCTCTTCGGCGTGAACAGTATCGGGGCGGCGTAAGGTGACGTGCTTGGCCGGATAAAACCCTTCGAGAGCAGATAATCCAGCTGTTTCCGCAACTCGTCGAGCTCCGGTTGGCTGAGCCGCCATTGTGACCGAACAGTCGGTTTGGCGCCTGGCTCCAGCTCGATCCTGTGGTCCTCCGGACACTGAGGTGGCAGCCCGTCAGGTAGGTCATCCGCGAAAATTTCGGGATACCTCCGAATTATGCTCGCTACGTCGTCGGGTACAGCAGCGCAATGCGTGTCAATGTCGGCGATTTTCTCGGACGCCACCACCTCGTACAGCTGTACGGCGTAGCCTTGCGCTCCCCGTTTTATCGCCCTCTTCAGCGTGATTGCGTTGACACGTGTTGTCATCGGCTCCGGCTCCGCCCATTTCGGGAGTGTCACGCGCCACTTGTTGCTCAGCACCGTGATCGCCCCCGTCGTCCAGTCGATCGTCGGATTGAATCGCTGTAGCCAATCTCGTCCCAGCAGCACATCGCAACCGTCCAGCGTTGTCGCCAGCATTCGCATCGAAAACCCGAAATCGTCGCCACACTTCATCCGAATTTGTCGGACCTCGTCCTTGATCGCCAGCGGTGTCCCGTCCACCAGTCGCGCGTCAATCTCGGGCAGACACCTGTCCAGCTTGACTCCAATTTTTTTGGCCGTTGCCAGGTTGACGAGACTGTGGCTCGCCCCACCGTCAACGAATAATTTTATTTTATACCCGTTAACCCTCCCCACGACCAGCACAGGGTGATCCACGTGTTCATCCACCTTATTCGTCCGGTTGCGGTCGATAGCCCGTATCGGTACCACTACTCGGTGTGGATGTTGATTGCCGGGCGACGGGGTCTCGTCAGTAGGTGGCCCGACTGCTACTGACTCGTCTCTTTTCCCGACCCCTCTCCGTCGTTCCTGTTTCCCTGTTTCAGCTGCGGGCAGTCCTTCCTCCAGTGGCCCGGTTGGTGGCAGTTGAAGCACGTGTTAGGTCCACGTCTAGGCGCCTCCACACCGTTGATTGTGGGCTGGCGCGGCGGTCCACGAAATTGAGTGCCCTCCCGGGAACTCATTCTCGCCCATTGCATCAGCGCATCCGTAGATTCGGCCACCTGGACGGCATCGAGGAAATCGCGTGGCCTCGCCCGTCGCACCTCGTACTGTACTTCGTACTTGAGGCCCGCGACATATCGGTCGAGTCGCTCCGCATCGCTCATGTCGTCCACCTGGTCAGCCAAATTGCAGAATGTTGCCGTGTAATCTTGGACCGACGCCACCTGCTTCCAGGTACGCAGCTTCATGCGGGCAGAATCCGAGGCGGATACATGCTCGAATCTGGTCCGCAGCGCGGCGCCCCACTCCGTCCATGTGCGTATCGTGGCCACTCCGAAGATTGAAGTTGCTCCTTGCGTGACAGTTGTCCAGGTCCCGTCGTTCGCACGTGACAACCCTGCTGGAGTCCCCTCTGTCTGAAGCGTTCGCCTCCACCACTCCAACGCCGGTCCCCGCAACAGTGACACTGCAAAATTAATTCGGGTGGCATCATCAGCAATTTGCGCAGCATTGAAGAACACTTCCACGCAGAACAACCATGCAGATACAGTGACCGTCTTGTCACTAGGGTTGAACGAGGGCAGGTTTGTCGGCTTTATCTTGACAGTTGTTGAGACTGTTGGTGCTCCATGCATCGGGGGCGCCATAGAAGCCATCGCCGGAGTTGTCTCTGGTGCCTGTCGTGGCATTGCCGGCGATTGTTCCCTCCGCGTTGGTTGCTCCTGTTGATGCTGTCGTGGTGTTTTCCTTGCTTGTTGCTGCCGTGCTGCCCACTCGTCTTAGCTCATTGAACACGTTTTCGTTGAGCGCGGAGCTGCTACTTGCTTCATCCATGACGGACGACTCCTGACGCGCTTCACCTCGCGTCTGGCGTAGCTCGGCGTTTTCCTCCCTCAGGCGCTCCAACTCGCCATTCATGGATAGCATGTTGGCCTGCATCGCCCGAAAATCCTGCACGAAGGCGTCAAACTCCGCCTGCGTCATGTTTCGGATACTCATCCTAGCGGGCAGCGGGTTAACAACAATTTTTATGACTTTGATGAAGGCGCAAACGCTATTAGTCGGAGCGAGATAATCGTATCTATCTCTCAGCCGACCGCTTTGCAGCCCACCAAGTCTATCGCACCCCTGCACTAAAACTACCCCGGAAAGTGGTGGGTAACCTAGGAAAGTAGGCTCTGATACCAAGTGTTATGAGTTGTAAGAATGAAGAGTGCGCAGAATGCAATATCGCGGAAGTGATTACAACAACCGATCAAACAACGAGGCCTAGGCACAATATAGCAATGCTAGCTAGGCCGAGGTCGCGGAGTCGCACGAAAGGTTGGGTGCAGGTTTGGGGTTGGAAAACCCGAAGGCGACGCGGTTGACGTTCGGAAGGCGAGGTCGTCGGACCGAGCCTGAATTCCGAAAGTTGGAATTGTACGCGCAAGAGCTGCCTCAGTAAGGAATTAGCGAAATTCCTTACAATGGTATCCAAAACATGTTATGAGAAGCTCCAATCGCAAGTACAGTATTCATTCAACAGCAGGTCATGAACCAAGGGGGGCAGAGTTTGTAGCCAAATGGCAATATCAACTGCCAACTGCCATTCAGCCCATAATTGATCAACTGCATTCAGAAGCATTTTCATGCCAACTGCCATTCAGCCCATAATTGATCAACTTATATCGAGTCGACGGAAATCCTGGTAAATCTGCAAGCCTGTAACACCAACTATACAACTTCTTCCCTAAGTGCCCAATTGAAACATCTCACTCATGCGGACGGCACAATGAGCCCTCTGCTGCGCATGTACACCACCGACAGAATAAACGACGCGATACATGCTACAGTGCTCCCAATCACAACATAATAAAACACGTTGTAATTAGACAGGACCTCCGGGTCGAAATACGAGCACTCGATGTTCATCCCGAACACGCCCGTGACGACAATGAAGAAGGAGATGAAGAGTGTGGCGGTGGTGAGCAGCACGTTCATCTGCAGCAGGCTGTTCTGCTTCTCGTCTAGCATGATGTTTATGTAGTCCTCCGTGTTCTCCACGTACTCCCGCAGCTGTTCAGAGCGGTGGTAAGGAGCAGAGAAGGGTATGAAGTCTATGTAGTCCTCCGTGTCTTCCACGTACTCCTGCAGCTGCTGTAAGTGGGAGAAAAGAGTATAGAGGGGTATAGAGAAGTAGGGAGGGGTGTGACATTCATATAGTCCTCCAAGACCTCCACATACTCGTGCAGCAGGAGGATGCGAGACGTGGAAATGCGGGTGTAGCAGGGAAAGGGTAGAGATTCACTTGCAGTCCTACGTACGTATCATCTGTCACGAGTTGTTGCTGACACCACATTCATTCACCTGTAGATGATACCTTCCTAACCATGCGATAGAACATTCACCATGCCATGATGGCAAGTCAATGGCATGTGAGTGATACGCTATCCACGCAAATTGATGATGATGTACATAGCGTGCCCTCAATCTGCACAAAACGCCTTTCGCAGCATCTCCAGCTATGTAAGTTTACTTTAGAAATTTCTCAAAAGTAAATCTCCAGCACCTCCACATCCCACTCCACTCAGCTCATCCATGCCATTCATCTTGACCCAATTCCAGCAACATGGAATCGATAAGCCGTTTACACATACCGACCGATAATAGCTTGTTGAGAGTGCCTTCGTTTTGCACAATGTACGCCTCTGAAAGCATCTCCAACTCCTCCACATCCCACTCAACTCACATGCGACAGGACAGGTCGATGGTTTACAGGGCTACGAGATATAAGCTACCCACATATACTGATGATAGCTTGTTCAGGGTTCCTTCGATCCGCACGAAGTACGCCTCTAGAAGCATCTCCAACTCCTCCACATCCCACTTCTTGCTGCTGCTGCGGCTGCTGCTGCTGCTACTGCTGCTGCTGCTGCTCCCACTCCTGCTGCTCCCGCTCTTCCCACTCCCACGACTTTGACTACAACTGCGGCTGTGGCTGCCTCTGCTCCCTCTGCTTTCTCTTCTCCCTTTACTACCACTCCCTCTACCGTCACTCCCCTTTTCCGACCCGATCCCCCCTGTCTCATCTAACCCTGTCCCATGCTCTGCAACACTCGGAAGGGAGTGTGCCGAGTGCTGGTGGTGATCGGAGTGGTGCCCATGTGAGCGTGAGTGAGAGTGTGCACGAGAGTGGGAGTGAGAGTGTGAGTGAGAATGAGAGTGAGGGTGTGAGCGGCCGCTGACACCAGAGGCAGAGAGGTGGGGGAGGCGGGGGAAGCTGGAGGAGCCTCCCGTGGGGGTGAGGTTGGTGCGGGGCGAATGGACGGTCGAGTTTGACTGCTGGGAGGAAGACGAGCGGCGGTGCTGCGATCCTGTGCTTGCATGGCCATGACGACCGATTGCTAGCAGCAGTGGCTCTTGTGCAGCTGACCCTGCGCCCTCCGAACCTGCAACGTCCGAACCTGAACCTTCTGAACCTGCACCCTCTGAACCTGCACCTTCTGAACCTGCACCCTCCGAACCTGCACCCTCCGAACTTGCGCCCTCCGAACCTGCGCCTTCCGAGCCATCTCCATCCGAGGGCATGTTATCCAGGTCAGGAGGAGAAGCACTACCAGAGCTCGGACATTCCTCTTCCTTTTTCAAAAACCCATCCCCTTCTCCTCCTCCACCTCTTCCTCCTCCCCCTCTCTCTCCTTGAACAGAGGAGCGAGAGTGCGATGGCACACCAAAACTGAAAGTTTCCTCTGCCCGTCTGTGCACATGCCGCTGCCTGCCGCTGCTGCAGTAGCTTGTCTGTGAGGTACATCTCGTCCATATCCTCATCGTCGTCTAGCAGCTGCTCTAACTCATCTCGAACCTGTCAATAAAGAGGACACAGTAAGGCCGGGGCCACGGGTGAAACAGGGCATACAATGCAGCAGCTTGTCTGTGAGGTACATCTCGTCCATGCCCCCGTCATCATCCAACAGCTGCTCTAGCTCAAATCGCACCTGTCAATAAAGGGGATGTGGTAAAGCATGAGACACGGGAGGCAACGCACCAGCTAGCCCGTAAGGAGGTACAAAGTGTTAGCAACGCCAGCAATGAGGGCCAGCAATGAGGGCTAAACAGGCTCTAGCCAATCTCGAACCTGTCATCCCCAATTCAGCAACGCACCTTGTGCACGGCGCACGCAGCCAGAAATGACAAATAGGGAGCCCCACAGTTATCTCCACATGCAATCACTCACGAATCTGTGGGAGTCCCATCCAGCACTCTCACAGCCACATTCCATGCAAGAGGAGGCGACAACAGCACGGCTCTTGACCTACGCAGGGGCGCACACACTCATGCCCCCAGAGCCCCACCTTCTGCACGCGGCCGGAGATGACAACGAGGTGGCTCTTGATCTGCCGCACCCTCAAAACCAGGTTGAGCGTTGAGACGAGCATGCACCTTGTAACATAGACGATTATCCTCGTAGCCCTCACATCCCCACCTTCACAGCAGCCTTGCTACTCCCCACCTTCTGCACGCGGCCAGAGATGACAACGAGGCGGCTCTTGATCTGGCGCACTCTCTCCAGGTTGAGAGTCGACACGGACGCCGTCAGCTCGTCCAGTGCTGGGTATGCCTCCTGCTCCACGCGGGTGGTCTGCAAGTCAAGGCCGGGAAGGGGATGGGAGAGCAGTGGGGGTGAGGGGAATTATGTGAGCAAAATAGGGTGGCTCGCACCCTCTCCAGGTTGAGAGTCGACACGGATGCTGTGAGCTCGTCCAGTGCCGCTGGGTATGCCTCCTGCTCCACGCGGGTGGTCTGAGCAATGAGGCGGTGAATGGAGGTTAGGGGGAAGCAGTGGGAGAGAGGGGAGAGAGGAGAGGGAAGAGGGCGGCTCTTAATCTGCCGCACCCTCTCCAGGTTGAGCGTTGACACGGACGCCGTGGGCTCGTCCAGTGCTGGGCATGCCTCCTGCTCCATGCGGGTGGTCTGGAGGGTGAGGAACGGAGCAAATGGAGAGGGAAGAGAGAGGTGGGGGAGGGGAGAAAAATGGGGGAGAGGGGTGGGGAGACAGCACTTGAGGAGCATCCACCCAGTGCCCCACGGGTCCCTCAGCAACTGTCGCTTTTGAGCCGACTCAGGTTTTGCGTCGCCTTGGTTTTTGAGTCGATTCAGCTTTTGAGTCGACTCAGCTTTTGAATTGACTCAGCTTTTGAGTCGACTCAGCTTTTGAGTCGACTCAGCTTTTGAGTCGACTCAGCTTTTGAATCGACTCAGCTTTTGAGTCGCCTTAGCTTTTTAATTGACTCAGCTTTTAAGTCGCCTCAGCGTTTGAGTCGGTTCAGCTTTTGAATCGACTCAGCTTTTGAATCGAATCAGAAAGCTTGAGCATCCATCCAGTGCCCCACAGGTCCCTCAGCACACCTGAGCGTCACGGGTGCCACAGGCAACCTCCCGGCACACCTCCAGAGCACACAGAGCTCACCTCACCATCCGCTGCCTCCCATGTCCCTGCACTCCTCAACAGCCCTCACCTTGGCGTCAAGGGTCCCACAGGTAGACTCCAGGCACACCTCCAGTGCGCGGAACTCAAAGGGCAGCGCGTTGGGCTCCCGCCACGCCATGCCCCCCGCTTCCAATGCCGCTGCTCCCACCCCCTCTGTTGTTGCACCTTCTGCTGCTGTTGGTGCTGCTCCTGCTGGCGGTGGTGCTGCTGCTACTGCTGCTGACACTACTACTTGTGGTGCTAATAACGGTGGTGAGACGGTGGGTGTGGGTGGTGCGGCAGCAGCAAAGGAGGGTGGAGGCAGAGGAAAGGAGAGTAGAGGAATGCTTGCAGCAGCAAGGGCAGACACCGATGTCAAGCTGGCAGCTGCTGAGGTGGCAATTGCTGAGGTGGCTGTTGCTGAGGTGGCAGCTGCTGAGGTAGGAATGGCAGGGGTAGAGGAAGAAGGGAGAACTTGCTCGGCGTCCTCTTCAGCAGGCTCACCGACCTCGGCGAGCAGAGGGAGTGTCGCGGTGGAGGAGTCCGTCGGCGAGGTAGCCGGTGTCCACCCCGACGCCGGCCCATGCATCGACGTCCACACCTCCAGCGACATGGTTTCGTAGAACACCACGTCCGAGGTGGTGACCACTTTGTTGTCGGCGATGTCGAGGAGCTCCCAGCCCTTGCTCTCCTCTGACACGCCGCGGTGGAGGCCCCACTTGGCCATTGGCTTCAGCGTTTCACCGCGCTGCTGCTCGGGGACCAGGAACTGCGCCATGCAACCCACACTCGTGCCAGCGACAAGTCGGGCTTCTTCCCGGTGAGCAGCTGGTACGGCGTCGTCCCCGGCGGCAGCGACGACCGCTCAAGGCAGTTGCGGACCCAGACGGCCTGCCGCAGAGCGAGGTGCCACCAGTGGTGCTGCACGCCCATGTGCAGCAGCATCGTCCGCACCGACTCCACCACCGTCCGCATCTCTCGCTCCGCCATGCCATTCTGCTGCGGGGTGTAAGGGCAGGTCAGGTCGTGGACGATCCCCTTGCCGTCCACGAAGGCGGTGAACTCCTTCCCGAGGAACTCCCCTCCCCGGTCAGAGCGCAGCTGCAGCACCGGCTTCTTGGTCTGCCGCTCAACCATCACCAACCACTGCTGGAACTCTAGGAGCACATCCGACTTCTTGGCGACCGGCCGCACCCACACGTAGCGGGTCTTGCGGTCCTTCAGCAGCAGGAAGTACAGGCTGCCATCCTTGGCGGCCACACGAAACGGCCCGCACAGGTCGATGTGCACGACGGCCAGGGCGTCCTCGGCGTCTGAGCCCTTGTCGGGGAAGGTGTGCCGTGCCAGCTTCCCACCGACGCACGAGACGCAAGGCGAAGCGGCACCGGACGCCGACTTGAGGTCCAGCCCGGTGGCGACCTCGTGCTTCGCCGAGCTCATGGTGGCGTCCATGCCGACGTGCGCGAGTCTCGCATGCAGAATGTCCGGCGTTGCCTTCGTCGCCGAGACGATGGTCCGCAGGGCAACTTCCTCCGCCGCAGTAGACGTCGGGCAGGGACGCAGGTCGGTGCAGAGAACCCGGCCGGAGTACGTGGCTCGACCGAGCATGTCACCGGTCGCCGAGATGAGCAACATCCCGTCGTCGTCGTCCTTCAGCTTCACACAGTTCTCCTTCGGCTGACCGGCCGACAGCAGGTTTGCGTGCACACCTGGGACGTACAGCACGTCGGGGATGAGCACCCGCTTCCCGGCCTCCCCTTGCAGCGCAACCGTGCCACGGCCGTGAACGTCTTGCAGCGCCCCATTGAAGCCGCGCACGTGCTTCACGTCGCCGCTCGGCTGCATGTCGACGAAGACCTCCTTCGTCCCCATCAGGTGGTGCGAGCAGCCGCTGTCCAGCAAGACCACCGCCGGGTTCGCCTGCACGGCTGCTGCCAACGCCTGGAAATCCTCACCGGCCTCCGGCGCCAGTGAGACGGTCGGCTCCACGACGCCGACCATAGAGCACGACGCCGACTTGTCGTCGCTCCCCTTTCCGCCAGCAGAGGAGTCGGCGTCCTTCGCCGAGGTCGACTTGTTCGACTGCTTCTCCTTGCGCGGCTGGTTTCCTCGACGTGGACGACGCCTGGCGGACCTCCCGCGACCTCCCTTGGCATCGGCGTCGTCGTTGGATTCACTGCGGTCGGGACACTCAAAGGAGAGGTGATCGGGGCTGCGGCAGATCCAGCACTCCCGACGCCGACCTCCTCCTCCGCGACCGCCTTCCATCGCCGACTTTCCCTTGTCGGCGTCCTTGGCCGGCTTCCCACCTCCGCTACCACCGCTGCCAGGCTTACCGCGCTGCCCTGGTCGGCTACCTTGCTTCGCCGGGGCGGCGTAGTTTGCCTGCAGCAGGAGCTCCGTGGACTTCTCGGCCTCCTGCATCGCCTCGTCCTGCAGGATGTACGAGGTAAGGGAGTCCTCGTTGAGTGTCGCCCGCGTGCTCGGCGCCACTGACAGCCGCTTCAGCAGGTTGTAGCTGCTCGGGAGCCCCTTTAGGACGTGCGTGACATACGACGCCGTGGAGTACTGCACGCCGGCCATCCGCATCGTGGCGAGAAGTTGCCGTGCTCGGTTGCAGTAGTCCGTCGCCGTCTCCTGCTCGCCCATCCGCAGGTGCGTCATCTGCTCCTCGAGCTGGCCGATGTACAGGTCGTCAGTGACCTGGTACGTCGACTCGATGAAGTGCCACGCCTGGTGCCCGGCGTCAAGGTACTCCCTGCACCACTTCAAGGCGATCTGCACGCCCGGTGAGCAGCACCGCGAGATGACCGTGAAGGTCAACAACTGCACGGCGCGAAACTCAGCTCTCAAGTCGGGGTAGATTTCCTTGTTGGTGTAAGGGCCTAATAAACTCAAGCTATTAGGACTTAATCAAACTTAAAACCTCTCCTCGGGGTCACCTCCAAGGGTCCCTGGGTGCCTGGTACAAGACCAGCCCCTATCCTCGGGTCCGAGTTTGTAGAGAGAGGGATCAAGAAGGACTTAGTCAAAACAGCAAGAGTACCTTGAACGTCGCGCAGCGTGCCATGCAGACCGTCGGTCGGATTAAGCTGAGAATTCGCTATATCGAAGCTCGCTCCAAGAGCTTTAAAATGAGCCAAGTTGCCTCGCGAAAAGTTCTGCCATTACTAAGTTATGGCTCGGACAGCGTTTGCCTAGCGTTGGAGTGCTAGCATACTAGCGTTGACTCGGGTAGCATTCCGCCGTCGAATAGCGCAGAAACGAAATTCCAGCGAGGAAGGAATTCGCTTGAATCAATTTGACTATGTTCAGGTACAAACAGAGAAGGATTAAATAGTTCTAGCTAGCAAGGACCTTGGGAATCAACCTGGGAACAACCAGGGATGATCCCAAATAATTCCAAGCAACAGAACCAACCTGGCTGGACAAAATAGCAGGTGGTAGGTTGGTAAACAACCTCTGGTTCTGTTTTTCCAACCTGGGAAAACAACAACCAGGTTCAGGTTCTAAAAACAGAACCTGTTTTGTCTTTGCCCAACCAGCCAAATGCTGGTTCCGCTGGTTTCCCCTGGCCTTGTAGCATGCAGATACAGACAAACAACATCCAACCTTCACCTAAATTGTACCCCTATAGTGCCTTCCCTGCTACACTATAGTTAACCAAACAAAACAGTACAATTCCGAGTTGGATAGAACTGAATCTGCGCAATCAACTCAACCGAACTGCAAAGCTTCCATCTTGGGTTCCTTTGCGAGCTCGTCCTTTCTGCTTGCACTGTTCATAGCGCATACAATGTTGTGCCGAAGCGCACATTGCGCGAGTACCTGCAAATGCATCAAGCGAAAAATGCGAAAGCAAACAAACACACGAACACACCATTCACACGCAAATGCATTCGCACACGCATACTCGTACAAACAGACGGCAGGATGTCGTGCAATGTAAATTTGCACCCAACACACTCCCCCTCAGCCTGCCGGCTGCATCCCCGTCATTCCATGCTAGTTCATGCTCATTCCACTCATGCGCACACAACGCCAATGAGGCTCATCCGCAAGCCTCTTGGTGAGAAAGTCTGCTGGCTGCTGGTGAGTCTTGATGTAGATCGGATGCACCGTCCCCCTCTTCACCTCCTTACGCAGCCAGTGCCACTTGATACGCATGTGCTTGTTCAGCCCATGAAGCACAGCGTTTCTGGCCATCCCAAGAGCCCCCTTGCTATCACAAAACAGCGGCGTAGCAACTTTCTGCTCCTGGCCAATCTCCTCTAACAGCCTCCTCAGCCAAATCACCTCCTTCACCCCATGGAACATCGCCATGTACTCTGATTCTACGGAAGAGAGTGCCGTCTCCGTCTGCTTCTTGGACCTCCAACTAACAGGTCCTCCCCCAACTACGCAGATGTATCCTCCCACAGATGAGGAATCCTCCTTCTCAGAAGCCCACGTAGCATCGGTAAAGCAAGTGAGAAATAGCTTGCCTTCTCCAAGC